ATATATATATATATAGAGAGAGAGAGAGAGAGAGAGAGAGAGAGAGAGACGAGAACTAGGTAGCTAGCTACGCCAGCAGTGTGGCTCAGGCAATCGGAAGACAATCAAAGAGACAGACTGCGCCCGTTTAGCCCGGGCCATCGATTTTCACCGCTGATTTTATTTGTGTTTCCGCAATGAACTCGCAGGCAAACAAATGCCGGCGATGTCGCTCGAGCGATTAAGGTGGAAGTAGACAAGCCGTAGTGCAAGAGGTAGAGAAGGGGTAGAAGCGAGAGAGAGGGTAAAAGAGGGGGCAGGATTGAGGAGGGGTGAGACACTATGAGCCGGATCCCGGATACGAATGGCTTAGGCAGACCAGGCATGACGGGACTGCAGGCATGAACCAGGAAATGGGAGATATATATTTACACGGTAGACGTATATACGCGTATACCTATAGCCCATATCGTAATGCGTATATCTATATATGAATATACGTGCAAGCTTACGCAATACGTAGATGCGTCGAGTCACAGAGGAATCGACGGCACAGTAAATACACGTAGGGAGCATCTCGTTGATTAGCTGCTCGCTTCTACGGCTATGGTGGCTGGTTGGCTGGCTTGCGTTCAAACTAAATCCAATATAGATCGTCTGCCGCAATTAATTCCAGCGACGTATATAAACAGGAGAAGCGTGTAGCTTGGAAATATTATAGGATTCACAGCGGCGAAGGAAGCCTTCATCGATTTCATCCTGGTGCACATGGATGGTCTTATAGACTCTTGGGACAAGTTATACGTTTTCAGTGACGTCATTGGCCAAGAAACTTCCTAGCGATGGCCGAGTGTCGATAGTCGGAATTTTCGAATTTACTCCGAAGACGGAGGTTCGTCAGTCGTAAGTATAGATATACAGAATTTCGTAGTTTAATTTCAGCGGCGATGGAGCTCCACTGCTCCTTGTCGGTGAAAAGTTTAATTTCGAGATGAAAGAAAGGGTTGTGACAGCCGAGGGTAGGGACAAGTTATCATTACGATCGGGTTTTGTAATGGCGGCACAGGGCTCGGGAGTAACGTGGGCGAGATTCCACGTATCGTTTGGCCTGGATAATCGGGATTCCCGCACAGGGCGTGTGCGCGCGTTTCGCATTAGGAACGGTATGCGCGGAGTATAGTAATTATGATTCTCCGACACGTCACATTCAAAGGGAAATGAAGTCGGCGGCTCCGACACGCGACTTCATTAACGAATGGCCGCGATGAATAGACCTAAACATCTCGCTCTGCTTGAATTCCGGTATGGCTTGGGTCAAGCGATGATTAATTGCTCCTCTGTCTAATTACTAATTAGTTCTAGCATGGCGACTATGCGCGCGGCAGACGTTCTACGAGTGAGCATTTTTCCTTTTTTTTTTTTTGTTAATCTATTAGTTTAATTGTCACGGCTCGTTACGTTTTCATTAGCATGCTACCCGGCATGCACCGATGTTACTTCGCGCGGAAGACAGTACCGCGCAATTTTCTACAGAGAATTTGCCGAGTCGTGGATAGCAAGTTTTTTCTTCTTTTTCTGCCTTAAAAATACTTCGGGCCGCGTAGGCGTCTTTTCTGTTGGATACATTTGAATATGACGTCACAATGTCTGTCTTAAGGCCGATTCATCTGCACGAGCTTGAAATTCGCAGCGATATCGATCTTAGATCCGTACCGATAGTAGACGGGATAGAATCGTACCTGGGTATCCACTGAGGGTCCCGGATCAAGATCCAGGGAATCAAGGAATTCAGCAAGAGCCAGAATAAAGGAGATCAGCTTGATGAGAGAAGTCGAGGCCGGCTAGGCGTTGGAAATTTCACGTTCACCTGTCCGCGAATTGCAGGCGGCGAACGTTGAGGGCAAAGGGCTGTTGGGTTTTAAATATTTATGTGTTTCCCGTGAAGGCGTAAATATTGGATGGGAGTGTAGGGAATATAAAGGGATCCGTATAGCTGGATGCCTCGAGCGGATTCCTAAAGTAAGGAGAGATGTTTATATTTCTAGCTTTCTACCTTAGACGGCCTTATAGGAAACTTAAATAATTTCCTTTATTTATCGCGGCCTATTGTTTCTCGATACGCTCGAGAATACCCCTGGGATTTTCGTACTGGGATCACCTACGTATCTCTTCTGTATCCAGCATCCAGTATCCATCTTACGTGCGAGACGTATAGCATAGGCAGGAGCCTTCGTCTTCTCCGAGGAGTCCGGTACCCTCGACTAACCTTGGCGAATCCTTATACCAGGCTGCTCTAGGTTGGTGGCCGCGAGGGTGCGACGATGTTAGGGATTTTCGGAAAGCCGCAGGATTCGCCGAAAGGAACGTAGGAGAAGAAGGATCGACCAAGAGAGAGAGAGAGAGAGAGAGTGAGGGATAATCTAGGCGAAAGACTGAGAGGGACGAAGGGAGGCCCTTGCGGGTTTTCGCGTAAAAGATTCTACGAGTAGCATCCACCAGCCTAATCCCATGGGACGTCTTGTCACCGTAGGGGCCCTACGGCATTTCACCCCTGTAAATGCAGGGCGCCTCAAATCCCCCACAAGGAAAAAAGGTGGAACCCCATTAAGTAAAACGTCGAACAAATAAGGATTTTTAGGGGAATGCTTGCGTGCGTGCTCCATACTTACTCACTCTCACTCTATATATTTTATTCACTCTCACTTTTTTCTTCCTCTCGCTTCAACCCCTACCCAAAACCCTCAAAGAGATTCTTCCGAAGGCTTCGTTATTAGAAATGACAGACGTCCATCTCCAAAGTGGCCACGCCAGATCTACAGATCTTTGAATCTCAGTTTTGATTATGGATCAGCAAAGTGATGAACCCTTAAGTAAGTTTACGTTTAGGCAAGTTAAACCCACCCACGAATCGGGGCTTATTTCGAAGAGGGTGTCCTACGACCCTCCCCTCCGCCCCCACTAAAACTAGAGTACACGAATTTCTTTTTTCTTCGTGCCGCTGCATCCCTATGCGAGCGAACCAGAGAAAGCCGACGAGATGTTCGTTTATATAAAACG